CAATAAGCCGGGCGCAGTGGCTCATCCCTGTAATCGTAGCACTCTGGGAGGCTGAGTGGGTGGAGTTGCTCAAGGTCAGAGGTTTGAAACCAGGCTGAGCAAGACTGGGTCCTGTCTCTATTAAAAACAGAAAGAAATTAATTAGCCAACTAAAAATATATAGAAAAAATTAGCCGGGCATGGTGGCACATGCCTGTAGTCCCAGCTACTCTGGAGGCTGAGGCAGAAGGATCACTTGAGCCCAGGAGTTTGAGGTTGCTGTGAGTTAGGCTGAAGCCACGGCACTTTAGCCTAGCAACAGAGCGAGATTCTGTCTCAAAAAAAGAAAAAAAAGTGAGCCAATAAAACAACAGACAGTTTGAAGAATACTAGTAAAGTGAACATAAGCACACACATCACCTAATTTAAGAAACAGAATGTTACTATACACTAAGAGTGCTCTGTAAATTCCTCACCCATCCTATGTCTGCCTTCTGCCAGAGGTGACCACTATCTTGAATACTTGAATATTTCTTTATAATTTTGCAAAGAAATTTAAATTTTCTTTGAGATTTATTACCTAAATATGTGTTCCTAAACATTATATAGTTCAGTCTTTCCTATTTTTCATTTTCATACATTCTAAACCATACTTATTTATTTCACTGTGATGGCTTCTTGGGCTCAGCATTGTTTTTGAAATTCATCCAAGGCGTTCAGGGTAGCTGAGTCATTTGTGTTCACTTTTTATTAGCATTTCATTATATGATTATATATCAACATATATTCATTCTATAATCAGTGAACATTTAAGTTGTTTCTATTTTTTATTCTTATGAGTAATAGTGCTATGAACACTCTGGTATATGTCTCCTGCTACATATGTGCAAGAATTTCTGCGTATTTCATACCCAGAAGCAGAGTTACATGTTCAACTTTACTTAATAATGCCAAGCTTTTTCCCAAAGTGGCTGCACTGTTTATACACCTATGGGCAGTGCATGAAGCGTCCTATACTTGAAAAAAAATTTATAAAAATGAAATCAAGTGAAAATAGAATCAACAGTAGCTATGACTGAGATTTTGGGGTGGGAGAATAGAAGAAAGTTACAAAAAAATCTTAAGATGTGTGTGGAAGAAGCTCTTGTGAGGTTGAGCCCTTTTATTTTAAATTACATACCTCTGCTTAGTGGGAGTGAAGGGCTAATCACATGGAGTGAAGCCCACTAGATTGTTCTTGGCTTTTGTTGTGGTGGTGGTATTTAGCTTTTACCTCCTAAACTCACACAGTAGAAATTGTATTACACGAAGTTAAGAATAGGCTGGGCGCGGTGGCTCACGCCTGTAATCCTAGGCCGAGGCGGGAAGATCGCTCAAGCTCAGGAGTTCAAAACCAACCTGAGCAAGAGCGAGACCCCGTCTCTACTATAAATAGAAAGAAATTAATTGGCCAACTAATATATATAGAAAAAATTAGCCCCCATGACTATCTTCAAATATTCAGTAAGGCACCAGGTGTGGTGGCTCACACCTGTAATCCTAGCACTTTGGAGATCAAGGCAAGAGAACTGCTTGAGCCCAGCCTCAAGGAGGTTTGCACTGAGCTATGATGACACCACTACACTCTACCCAGGCAACAGAGCAGACTCTGTCTCAAAAAAAAAAAAATCTAGTAAGAATAAAACCTTTCTTGATTATCAAGAAACACCATTTGTTTTTGTGGTCTGGAGAACTATCCCCAAAGCTGTCTCTTGGTTTAAGCAGAGGAAACTAAAGCACACTTTTCAGTATTGAGTGTTCACTGGTCCAGGGCAAACTGATCTCTTGGTGAATGGTAACCGTCTTAAAACCCAGAACTAAAACACAGATCCTTTTCCTTTAGGAAGAAAAAGGACTCAAAGCTTGGTCTCAGACCCACCTCAGCCACCACTATCACCTCTCTGGTCTGTCTTTGGAAATGATGACAAGTAAGTTTTTGTTTTGTTATTTTTTTAAGGCAGAGTCTCACCCTGTTGCCTGGGCTAGAGTGCTGTGGTATTAGCCTAGAGTGCTGTGGTATTAGCCTCATTCACAGCAACCTCAAACTCTAGGCTCAAATCCTGCCTCAGCCTCCCAAGTACTGGGACTATAGGCATGCACTGCCATGTTTGGCTAATTTTCCTTTTTTAGTTGTCCAGCTAATTTCTTTCTATTTTCAGTAGAGACAGGGTCTGGCTCTGCTAGGCTGGTCTGGAACTCTGTCTTCAAGCAATCCTCCTGCCTTGGCCTACCAGAGTGCTAGGATTACAGGCGTGAGCCACTACACCCAGTCTGAGTAAGTTTTTTAAAAAACAGCTTTACTGGCCGGGTGTGGTGCCTCACGCCTGTAACCTAGCATCTGGGAGGCCGAGGGGGGCAGATGGCTTGAGGTCAGGAGTTCAAACCCAGCCTAAGTGAGACCCCCGTCTCTACTATAATAGAATAATTAATTGGCCACTAATATATATATATATATAATTAGCCGGCATGGTGGCACACGTCTGTAGTCCCAGCCACTCGGGAGGCTGAGGCAGTAGGATCGCTTGAGCCCAGGAGACTGAGGTTGCTATGAGCTAGGCTGATGCCACAGCACTCACTCTAGCCTGGGCAACAAAGTGAGACTGTCTCAAAAAAAATAAAAATAAAAAACAAGGCCGGGCGAGGTGGCTCACGCTGTAATCCTAGCACTCTGGGAGGCCGAGGCGGGCAGATTGCTCAAGGTCAGGAGTTCGAAACCACCCTGAGCAAGAGCGAGACCCGTCTCTACTATAAATAGAACAAATTAATTGGCCAACTAATATATATAGAAAAAATTAGCCGGCATGGTGGGCACATGCCTGTAGTCCCAGTACTCGGGAGGCTGAGGCAGGAGGATTGCTTGAGCCCAGGAGTTTGAGGTTGCTGTGAGCCAGGCTGACGCCATGACACTCACTCTAGCCTGGGCAACAAGAGCAGACTCCTGTCTCAAAAAAAAAATAAATAAAAATAAAAAACAGCTTTACTAAGGCATAATTGACATGTAATTCACTGCACATATTTATTACTTAGCATTCTACTAACTGAAGGTAGAGATTCTTTTCGTTTATTTATTAATTATCTATTATATCTGTATGATTTCATAGATTCCTATTTTATTCAATGAGTTATAATCCATCCATCTAATTATTTACTTTCATGCTCAAATTGTCCCATATCTGGCTAGTGTGAGCCCTTCAAACTGGCTCTGGTGTTTTTTTTTTTTTTGAGACTGTTGCCTGGGCTAGAATGCCATGCATCAGCCTACCTCACAGCAACCTCTAACTCCTGAGTTCAAGGTGATCCTCTTGCCTCAGCCTCCGAGTAGCTGGACTACAGGCATGCACCCCATGCTCGGCTAATTATTTATATATATATATATATATATATATATATTTTTTTTTAGTTGGCCAATTAATTTCTTCTATTTTTTTTTAGTAAGATGGGGGTTCGTTTGCTTTTGCTCAGGCTGGTTTCGAACTCCTGACCTCGAGCAATCCTCCTGCCTCAGCCTCCCAGAGTGCTAGGATTACAGGCGTGAGCCACCGTGCCCGGCTCTGGTGTTCTTTTAAATATCCCATAATTTTTGAGAACTTCCATAATTTCTAGCACAATAAGAATGTTAAGGCTTGAACATTTTCTTATCTTGTATTTTCCTGCCCTAGCCTTAGTCCTTTTAGTGGAGAATGGTATTAAAACAAGATCTCCCTTTCCTCAAGGGGTGTATGCTACATAATGTGTGTGATGCACACCACTGGGGATTGACAACATTGGGGGGGAGGGGGGCATTGTACCTCCATAATATGATGAAATAAAAAAAAATCTGTGCCCCATATATGCGGAAAAAAATAAATTAAAAAAATAAAAACCAAGATCTCGGTATTATGTGCTCTTATGGCTACTGATTGTCATTCTTCTATGCCCTCTCAGCTGACAATCAGGGAGTGTTGGTATGTACAGAAACACAACACACACACCTTTCTATACATTAGAAATGAGTTTATCCTGATACCTCCGTATAAAACCAAATCATATGGTTTATTTAACCCTTCTGCCCTTCCAAATTTGCATCTTCCTTCTCAAACACTGACAAATCAGCCCTTATTATCTCAATATATTATCTTGTTTGCACCACGCCCAGCCAGCCATATTTTAATAAAACTGTTTATATTTCACACATATAAAGCAATAAGCCGGGCGCAGTGGCTCATCCCTGTAATCGTAGCACTCTGGGAGGCTGAGGTGGGTGGATTGCTCAAGGTCAGGAGTTTGAAACCAGGCTGAGCAAGACTGGGATCCTGTCTCTATTAAAAACAGAAAGAAATTAATTAGCCAACTAAAAATATATAGAAAAAATTAGCCGGGCATGGTGGCACATGCCTGTAGTCCCAGCTACTCTGGAAGCTGAGGCAGAAGGATCACTTGAGCCCAGGAGTTTGAGGTTGCTGTGAGTTAGGCTGAAGCCACGGCACTTTAGCCTAGCAACAGAGCGAGATTCTGTCTCAAAAAAAGAAAAAATGAGCCAATAAAACACAGACAGTTGGAAGAATACTAGTAAAGTGAACATAACACCACATCACGTAATTTAGATGAACTCCTGACCTTGAGCAATCCTCCCGCCTCAGCCTCCCAGAGTGCTAGGATTACAGGCGAGAGCCACCTCGCCCAGCCTCAAATCATGTTTCTTATCATTACCATCAGATTCTGTGGTCTCATTGTGCTATGGACTGAACTGTGTCCCTCAACCCCAAATTCATACGTTGAAACCCTAACCTCCAATGTGGCTGTATCTGGAGATTGGGTCTTTAGGAGATTATGAAGGTTAAATGAGGTCATAAGAGTAGAGAGCTAATTGGATATAACTGTGGCCTTATAATAAGAAGGGAGATTTCTTCTCTCTCATCCCCCACCACTGTCATGTGAGGACACAGGGAAAAAGAGGTAGTCTGGCAAGCTAGAAAGAGGACCCTTACCAGAATCTGAGCATGCTGGCACCCTGATCTCACTACCAGCCTCCAGAACTGTGAGAAAATAAATGTGTGTTGTTTAGGCTACACGGTCTGTGGTATTTTGTTATGGCTGCCTGAGCTAAAACATACTGCCTGCCTATTCTGACATTTACTAACTTTGCCCTTGGGCATGTCACTTAACTTTTCTATGCTCAGTTTTCTCATCAATAAATAAAGATAAAAATAGTATCTACCTCACTACATTGTTATGAAGATCAAATAAGTTAATATATGTAAAATGCTTAAAACAGTGATGGGGCATTGTAAGTACTATAGGTGTTAGCTATTATTATTACATATCGTTATATCTAGATAAAGAAATGAAGGTATAACATAGCTCAGTAATTAGCTCAAAACCAAGGGGATAGAATCCAGGTTAGCCATTTAACATCCATAATCTCAAGTACCCTGGTTATCAACCAAGAAGCAAGATTTTTTTTGGCTCAGGCAACCTTCTGACCTCACCAAATTCTCAAGTCCTGACAATATAAACAAAAATCACCAATTCTGAAGAGCACTGGTCTACGATGGAAGCCTACAATGAGTGACTGCAACTTCTTTACCCATCAGAGTTTCAGCCTTGCTCTAGTCTATCTAAATACAGAATTGTCCTCAATTTCTGACAGCACCAAATCTGGAGCTACTTCTGTTTCCCTGGATCTTCCCACAAATCACCCAACCAAACATAGCTCAGATATTCTAACAGGTTCTAACACATTTACTGAGATACCTTTAGTTTCCTATGGTATGTATTTTCTCTAGCTGTAATTAGTATTAAACCCAACTTGCCCAACAGCAGGTATGTGGCTGGTGGTATTTGGCTGGAGAGCACTGACACTGTCTTCAAAATGTAACCTAGACTCTGGACTTTCAGACTCCCATTCTTCTCATCTATTTATCTCTCCATTATCCTATCTCAGATTCCTCTCCAGGTCCCCACTCCAGAGATCCACCTTTGAAAGCTAATAACCTAAGATCACTGTATATAGTATATTTTGCAGTTAAGAGCTTTTAGCTCTGCTACTCTCTAGATCTGATCTTGGGCAAGCTATTTAATGTGCCTCATTTTCCTCTTAATAATACCTCCTTCATACTATTAAATGAGTTAATAGTATCTGCGATGATATTAAGGCAATTAATATATATAAAACACTTACAACATACCTGCATATAATAGCAAAGGATCAACAAAGGATCAATATGATCTTTGGTTTTGTTTTGTAAATAAAGACCCCTTCTTTTACTTGCCCCTGCAGCCTTTGTTCCTCTGAGATTTTGACTATTCCCCTGTCTCCACCCTCTCTTTTGTGACCAGGGCAGGAGCCTATCCAATCTCTTGTTCTATGGGCTTAGTATCACCAAGGTTCTTTTTTTTTTTTTAATTTTTTTTTTTTTTTTTTCCGAGAAGATTTTCTGCAGAAGCACTAAGGTTCTTGATGCTTTGTGGGCTATGGTCACAGTCTATTGATGTATTTGGCAAGAAAATGGACAAAAGCAACTGTATTTGACACTTAAATTATTTTCTGGTATAGACATTCTCAGCAAAATTGATTCCTTTTTGTTTAATGTGATGTAGGCCTGGTGTGCAATACAGCTTTTATAAATTTAAGGAGAACTCTAAGTACCTTTTGATCTCATCCTGTTGCTTCCAAGAAAGCTCCTTCACTAACAGGTGCTCTTCATGAAGCCGAAAGAAACTGTCCTCCAATTCCTCCCGGTTCATCCTGCTCAAGGGTGGTGGCGTTTTTATATTCTTACCTAAAGTCCCAGGAAAGAGTACATGGAGAATATTTTCACATGTAATTTTTTTTAACCCTTCAGTTCTCTCATCACATCTTGTCCAGAGAGAATCTATCTTAAGTTAAGTATTAAAGAGAAAATTTAGGAAGTATCTGAAATGACTACTAATGGACCTCTGGAGGCTCTTTTCGTATGATTCCAGCATGAGGTATGACTCAACCTCCTGTCTGGAAAATACATTCTTTTGATAAAAATATCAAATGAAGCCTTTATTCTACTTATTTTTTTTATTCTTCTATTTTTACTCCTTATTAGATAATTTGGACCTAGACAAAGATTGTTCCCATGACTATCTTCAAATATTCAGTAAGGCACCAGGTGTGGTGGCTCACACCTGTAATCCTAGCACTTTGGGAGATCAAGGCAAGAGAACTGCTTGAGCCCAGCCTCAAGGAGGGTTGCACTGAGCTATGATGACACCACTACACTCTAGCCCAGGCAACAGAGCAAGACTCTGTCTCAAAAAAAAAAAAAAATCTAGTAAGAATAAAAACCTTTCTTGATTATCAAGAACCACCTCATTTGTTTTTGTGGTCTGGAGAAACTATCCCCAAAGCTGTCTCCTTGGTTTAAGCAGAGGAAACTAAAGCACACTTTTCAGTATGTGAGTGTTCACTGGTCCAGGGCAAACTGATCTCTTGGTGAATGGTAACCGTCTTAAAACCCCAGAACTAAAAACACAGATCCTTTTTCCTTTAGGAAGAAAAAGGACTCAAAGCTTTGGTCTCAGACCCACCTCAGCCACCACTATCACCTCTCTGGTCTGTCTTTTGGAAATGATGACAAGTAAGTTTTTTGTTTTTTGGTTTGTTATTTTTTTTAAGGCAGAGTCTCACCCTGTTGCCTGGGCTAGAGTGCTGTGGTATTAGCCTAGAGTGCTGTGGTATTAGCCTCATTCACAGCAACCTCAAACTCCTAGGCTCAAGCAATCCTGCCTCAGCCTCCCAAGTAGCTGGGACTATAGGCATGCACTGCCATGTTTGGCTAATTTTTCCTTTTTTAGTTGTCCAGCTAATTTCTTTCTATTTTCAGTAGAGACAGGGTCTGGCTCTTGCTGAGGCTGGTCTTGAACTCCTGTCCTCAAGCAATCCTCCTGCCTTGGCCTACCAGAGTGCTAGGATTACAGGCGTGAGCCACTACACCCAGTCTGAGTAAGTTTTTTTAAAAAACAGCTTTACTGGCCGGGTGTGGTGGCTCACGCCTGTAATCCTAGCATTCTGGGAGGCCGAGGGGGGCAGATGGCTTGAGGTCAGGAGTTCAAAACCAGCCTAAGTGAGACCCCCGTCTCTTACTATAAATAGAAATAAATTAATTGGCCAACTAATATATATATATATATAAATAAGCCGGCATGGTGGCACACGTCTGTAGTCCAGCCACTCGGAGGCTGAGGCAGTAGGTCGCTTGAGCCCAGGAGACTGAGGTTGCTATGAGCTAGGCTGATGCCACAGCACTCACTCTAGCCTGGGCAACAAAGTGAGACTGTCTCAAAAAAAATAAAAATAAAAAACAAGGCCGGGCGAGGTGGCTCACGCCTGTAATCCTAGCACTCTGGGAGGCCGAGGCGGGCAGATTGCTCAAGGTCAGGAGTTCGAAACCACCCTGAGCAAGAGCGAGACCCCGTCTCTACTATAAATAGAAACAAATTAATTGGCCAACTAATATATATAGAAAAATTAGCCGGCATGGTGGCACATGCCTGTAGTCCCAGCTACTCGGGAGGCTGAGGCAGGAGGATTGCTTGAGCCCAGGAGTTTGAGGTTGCTGTGAGCCAGGCTGACGCCATGACACTCACTCTAGCCTGGGCAACAAGCGAGACTCCTGTCTCAAAAAAAATAATAATAAAAATAAAAACAGCTTTACTAAGCATAATTGACATGTAATTCACTGCACATATTTATTACTTAGCATTCTACTAACTGAAGGTAGAGATTTCCTTTTCGTTTATTTATTAATTATCTATTATATCTGTATGATTCATAGATTCTATTTTATTCAATGAGTTATAATCCATCCATCTAATTATTTACTTTCATGCTCAAATTGTCCCATATCTGGCTAGTGTGAGCCTTCAAACTGCGCTCTGGTGTTTTTTTTTTTTTTTGAGACTGTTGCCTGGGCTAGAATGCCATGCATCAGCTAGCTCACAGCAACCTCTAACTCCTGAGTTCAAGTGATCCCTTGCTCAGCCTCCCGAGTAGCTGGACTACAGGCATGCACCCCATGCTCGCCATTATTTATATATAATATAATTATTATATATATTTTTTTTTTTTAGTTGGCCAATTAATTTCTTCTATTTTTTTTAGTAGAAGATGGGGGGGGTTTGCTTTTGCTCAGGCTTGGTTTCGAACTCTTACCTCGAGCAATCCTCCTGCCTCAGCCTCCCAGAGTGCTAGGATTACAGGCGTGACCACCGTGCCCGCTCTGGTGTTCTTAAATATCCCATAATTTTGAGAACTTCCATAAATTTCTAGCACAATAAGAATGTTAAGGCTTGAACATTTCTTATCTTGTATTTTCCTGCCCTAGCCCTTAGTCCCTTTTAGTGGAGAATGGTATTTAAAAACAAGATCTCCCCTTCCTCAAGGGGTGTATCTACATAATGTGTGTGATGCACACCACTGGGGATTGACAACATTGGGGGAGGAGGGGGATTGTACCTCCATAATATGATGAAATAAAAAAAAAACTGTGCCCCATAAACCGGAAAAAAATAAAAAAAATAAAAACCAAGATCTCGGTATTATGTGCTCTTATGGCTACTGATTGTCATCTTTCTATGCCACTCCATAGCTGACAATCAGGGAGTGTTGGTATGTACAGAAACACACACACACACACCTTTTTATACATTAGAAATGAGTTTATCCTGATACCTCCGTATAAAACCAAATCATATGGTTTATTTAACCCTTCTGCCTTCCAAATTTGCATCTTCCTTCTCAAACACTGACAAATCAGCCTTATTACCTCAATATATTTACTTTGTTGCACCACGCCACAGCCATAATTTTAATAAAACGCTTTAATTTTCACACATATAAAGCAATAAGCCGGGCGCAGTGCTCATCCCTGTAATCGTAGCACTCTGGGAGGCTGAGGTGGGTGGATTGCTCAAGGTCAGGAGTTTGAAACCAGGCTGAGCAAGACTGGGATCCTGTCTCTATTAAAAACAGAAAGAAATTAATTAGCCAACTAAAAAATATAAGAAAAAATTAGCCGGGCATGGTGGCACATGCCTTAGTCCCAGCTACTCTGGAAGCTGAGGGCAGAAGGATCCACTTGAGCCCAGGAGTTTTGAGGTTGCTGTGAGTTAGGCTTGAAGCCACGGCACTTTAGCCTAGCCAACAGAGCGAGATTCTGTCTCAAAAAAAGAAAAAAAAGTGAGCCAATAAAACAACAGACAGTTTGAAGAATACTAGTAAAGTGAACATAAGCACACACATCACGTAATTAAGAACAGAATTGTTACTATACACTAAGAGTGCTCTGTAAATTCCTCACCCATCTATGTCTCCTTCTGCCAGAGTGACCCACTATCTTGAACTTGAATATTTCTTTATAATTTTGCAAAGAAATTAAATTGTCTTTGAGATTTATTACCTAAATAGTGTTCCTAAACATATATATTCTAGTCTTCCTATTTTCATTTCATACATTCTTAACCATACTTATTATTTCATGTGATGCTTCTTGGGCTCAGCATTGTTTTTGAAATTCATCCAAGGCGTTCAGGGTAGCTGAGTCATTGTGTTCACTTTTTATTAGCATTTCATTAAAATGATATATATATCAACATATATTCATTCTATAATCAGTGAACATTTAAGTTGTTTCTATTTTTTATTCTTATGAGTATATGGCTATGAACACTCTGGTATATGTCTCCTGCTACATATGCAAGAATTCTCGCGTATTTCATACCAGAAGCAGAGTTACATGTTCAACTTTACTTAATAATGCCAAGCTTTTTCCCAAGTGGCTGCACTGTTTATACACCTATGGGCAGTGCATGAAGCGTCCTATACTTGAAAAAAATTTTATAAAAATGAAATCAGTGAAAATAGAATCAACAGTACTATGACTGAGATTTTGGGGTGGGAAAGAAGAAAAGTTACAAAAAATCTAAGATGTGTGGAAGAAGCTTTGGTGAGGTTGAGCCTTTTATTTTAAATTACATACCTCTGCTTAGTGGAGTGAAGGCCTAATCACATGGAGTGAAGCCACTACAGATTGTTCTTGGCTTTGTTGTGGTGGTGGTATTTAGCTTTTACCTCCTAACTCACAGTAAAAGTTGTATTACACGAAGTTAAGAATAGGCTGGGCGCGGTGGCTCACGCCTGTAATCAGGCCGAGGCGGGAAGATCGCTCAGCTCAGAGTTCAAAACCACCTGAGCAAGACGAGACCCGTCTCTACTATAAATAGAAAGAAATTAATTGGCCAACTAATATATATAGAAAAAATTAGCCAGGCATGGTGGCGCATGCCTGTAGTCCCAGCTACTTGAGAGGCTGAGATAGGAGGATTGCTTGAGCCCAGGAGTTTGAGGTTTCTGTGAGCTAGGCTGACGCCACGGCACTCACTCTAGCCTGACGCCACGGCACTCACTCTAGCCTGGGCAACAACGTGAGACTCTGTCTCAAAAAAAAAAAAAAAGAAGTTAAGAATAACATGTTGAGAAGATTGAAGAGCTAATAGAAAAGCAGTCAATGTGAAGGCTAGCAAAATGCTCTGTAATGACAGATTGAGAGATCTTTTAATTCTAAAAGGCATCCATCCTCAAGCACTGGATTTACCTTTTGACACTGGTAGCATCAGCGGTATGGCATCTGTGTCTCTAACTGGCAGGTCTCCTGATGTATGGTCCACCAGATCTGACATGATCTCAGTTCCCAAGCTGTAAGAGATCCCACAGGACACTGAAATAAAGGAAAAGTCCAGCTAATTACATGGAACTTTAGCATGTCTTCTGCAGGCTGTACTTAAGTTGTAGCAGAAATTTCTCAGCACTTTCATGATAATATATCGTAGTCGCTTATGTGTTGATGTGGATTATTCTATACTTAAGGGTAAGAACAAAAATTCAGTAGTAATGACATTATGTATTCAACATGAAAATTAGTTTTTCTGATTATAGAATGAATGCATATCATTTTGGATCAATTTTTTTTTTTTTTTTGAGACAGAGTCTCGCTTGTTGCCCAGGCTAGAGTGAGTGCCGTGGCGTCACCTAGCTCACAGCAACCTCAAACTCCCTGGCTCAAGCGATCCTTCGTCTCAGCCTCCCAAGTAGCTGGACTACAGGCAATGTGCCACATGCCGGCTAATTTTTTTCTATATATTTAGTTGGCCAATTAGTTTTCTTTATTTATAGTAGAGACGGGGTATCGCTCTTGCTCAGGCTGGTTTCGAACTCCTGACCTCGAGCAATCCGCCCGCCTCGGCCTCCCAGAGAGCTAGGATTACAGGCGTGAGCCACCGCGCCCGGCCTGGATCAATTTTTAAGTGTCTGCTCAGCTTGGAAGCTAAGGATCATCCCCTTTCTCTGGGAAATGGGCCTCAAACCCCTTCTCACCACTACATTTACAGAGACTAACTTCCTAGGTACCAGTTTACACTCTATGATCCAGTCCCCACAACCATGGGTGATTGGACCAGGGCAGACAAGTGACCCAAGCTGGGCCAATTAGATTCTCTCTCCCAGGTGGATGGAAATGGGACAAAGAGAGTTAAATTAATCTCTATGGATGGCTAGAACTATTATGTAAACTTGGCAGCTCTGACTATATTCAGCTCTGTGGCCTGGATAATCAGGAAATCCTATCTATAGAGTTGTCTCACACCTTGATAAACGTTCTTTTTTTCCTGGATGATAGCATGTAGTCTCCTGGCTTTAACTGCCATGTACCTATATGCTGTGGCCTCCAAAATTTATGTCTCCCATCCTTGATCTTTAGATTTGTACAACTTCCTGTCTTTTAAACATTTCCACTTGCATGACCACTGGATATATCAAATTCAACTTTCCCAAACAGGAAATTTAGGACCAGGTGCAGTGGCTCACACCTGTAATCCTAGCACTCAAGGAGGCCGAGGCGGGAGGATTGCTCGAGCTCAGGAGTTCGAAACCAGCCTAAGCAACAGTGAGACCCTGTCTCTACTAAAAATAGAAACAAATTAATTGGCCAACTAAAAATATATAGAAAAAATTAGCCGGGCATGGTGGCACATGCCTGTAGTCCCAGCTGCTCTGGAGGCTGAGGCAGAAGGATCGCTTGAGCCCAGGAGTTTGAGGTTGCCATGAGCTAGGCTGACACCACGGCACTTTAGCTCCAGCAACAGAGTGAGACTGTCTCAAAAATAAATAAAATAAATAAAAAATAAATTTAAAAAAATATGTTAGCCTTGGCCGGGCGTGGTGGCTCACGCCTGTAATTTTAACACTCTTGGACGCCAAGGTGGAAGGATCTTTTGAGCTCAGGAGTTTGAGACCACCCTGAGCAAGAGCAAGACCCTCATCTCTACCAAAAATAGAAAAAATTAGCCAGGCATGGTGGCACATGCCTGTAGTCCCAGCTACTTGGGAGACTGAATCAGGAGGATTGCTTGAGCCCAGGAGTTTGAGGTTGCTGTGAGCTGGGCTGATGCCACGGCACTCTAACCTGGGCAACAGAGTGAGACTCTGTCTCAAAAAAAAAAAAAAAAAAAAAATACGTTAGCCTTGCTGAAACAAGATCTTAAAAAAAATTGGTTTAAGACTCAGAGCTGTTCGTCTCCACAGAAATCTTCAGTAAAAGGCAAAAGATTTATACGATTTAAGGAGAAACCAGAGTATACATAACATTTTTTAGTGCTCTCCCCATTTTCCTCTCTCATGCTCCATCAATTCTCCCTGAAACATCCAGATTGACTTTTACAAAACAAACCAGCTCATTTGCTGGCTAAAAGTCTCTGAATGGCTTTTCATTACGTTTAGAATAAAATCTAAACCTCTTTCCAGGGCCCATAAAGCCCTACTCTGTCTGACTCCCTTCCTACTTCTCCAGTCTCATTTTGTACCTACCGTCCTCTAGCTCACAATACTCTTCACCATGGACCTCCTCTCTGCTCCCCCAGTCATCAAGCTCTTTCTCACTATTTCCCTTCCTCTACTTGGCTGGCTCCTTCTCATCCTTCAGTCTCTCCAGTTTCTTTTCATCTGTCAAGAGGCCTTTCTCTGACTTTGATAACTAAACCGAGCACTTCCCCAGTTACACTCTGTAATGTCATCCTGTTTATTTCCCTTGTAACATTTACCATACTCACAAACTACCTGCATTTATTTATATTAATTTATTCCCTGTACCCCTCCTCACTAAAATAAAAGAACTTTGAAGGCACAAAATTGGTTTATATTGTTTACCTCTATATACCCAGCACCTGAACAGTTCCTGGAACATAGTAGGCACCCAATGAATAAATAAAGAATAAATGAAAAGATGAATGAATGAATAAATCAAGGGAAAGAATGACATAGAGGGGCTGAGATGAGTCAAAAAGTCCTGAAAGCATTCTGTTCTTGATTTCAGTCTTTTCCAAGGCCTGGCTCTGTTTCTACCCTTCAGTTGTGTCTTGTATAACAAATCTTCCCTTTTTGCTGAAGCCAGCTTGACTTTGTCAACTGAAGAAGCATGTTCACAAACTTTTCTGAACAGAGAAATATAAAGAAAAAAGCACAAAGAAAATGATGAAGAAATTCCATCACTGGGAAAGAACATTGTGTTGACTGACTTTCCAGACAATTTAACTTGAATTGGGCCATTCATAGTCCATTCTGTAATGTTTCCTTTTTAAAAATCACAATAAATGGACAGCACCTTCCTTTTTTTATTTTTAATTATTTTTTATTTTTTCCCTAACCACTAGACCACCAAGCAAGCATCTTTCTAATGACATAATTTAAATGGATCTATACAGATTTCATAACATGCCTCTTGTAAAGAAGCCAAACAGTTACGCAGAAGTTGATGTACTTTCATATGTAGGACAATAGTCTTAGGATTAGAACAGAATGGAAGCAACCAAGGAAACCATTTTGTTTTAAAGTAAATCTCCATTTAAAGTAGCATTTTCAGGCTTACCAAGATAAGCCTGCCTTCCTTCCTTCCTCTCTCTCCATTTTATTTATTTATTCATTTTTTGAGATTTGACAGAATCTCGCTTTGTTGCCCAAGCTAGAGTGAGTGCCGTGGCGTCAGCCTAGCTCACAGCATGCAATCTAAGATATTACAAAAAAAAAAAAAAATTAGCCGGGCATGGTGGCACATGCCTGTAGTCCCAGCTACTTGGGAGGCTGAGGCAGGAGGATCCCTGAGCCCAGGAGTTTGAGGTTGCTGTGAGCTAGGGCTGACGCCACGGCACTCACTCTAGCCTGGGCAACAAACGAGACTCTGTCTCAAAAAAAAAAAAATAATACCTCTTCATACTATTAAATGAGTTAATAGTATCTGCGATGATATTAAGGCAATTAATATATATAAAACACTTACAACATACCTGCATATAATAGCAAAGGATCAACAAGGATCAATATGATCTTTGGTTTTGTTTTGTAAATAAAGACCCCTTCTTTTAGCTTGGCCCTGCAGCCTTTGTTCCTCTGAGATTTTGACTATTCCCCTGTCTCCACCCTCTCTTTTGTGACCAGGCAGGAGCCTATCAATCTCTTGTTCTATGGGCTTAGTATCACCAAGGTTCTTTTTTTTTTTTTAATTCTTTTTTTTTTTTTTTTTCCGAGAAGATTTCTGCAGAAGCACTAAGGTCTTGATGCTTTGTGGGCTATGGTCACAGTTATGATGTATTTGGCAAGAAATGGACAAAAGCAACTGTATTTGACACTTAAATTATTTTCTCGTATAGACATTCTCAGCAAAATTGATTCCTTTTTGTTAATGTGATGTAGGCCTGGTGTGCAATACAGCTTTATAAATTTAAGGAAGAACTCTAAGTACCTTTTATCTCATCCTGTGCTTCCAAGAAAGCTCCTTCACTAACAGGTGCTCTTCATGAAGCCGAAAGAAACTTGTCCTCCAATTCCTCCCGGTTCATCCTGCTCAAGGGTGTGGCGTTTTTATATTCTTACCTAAAGTCCAGGAAAGAGTACATGAGAAATTTTCACATGTAATTTTTTTTAACCCTTCAGTTCTCTCATCACATCTGTCCAGGAGAGAATCTATCTTAAGTTAAGTATTAAAGAGAAAATTTAGGAAGTATCTGAAATGACTACTAATGGACTCTGGAGGCTCTTTTCGTATTATTCCAGCATGAGGTATGACTCACCTCCTGTCTGGAAAATACATTCTTTTGATAAAATATCAAATGAAGCCTTATTCTACTTATTTTTTATTCTTCTATTTTTACTCCTTATTAGATAATTTGGACCTAGACAAAGATTGTTCCCATGACTATCTTCAAAATTCAGTAAGGCACCAGGTGTGGTGGCTCACACCTGTGTATCTCAGCTTTGGGAGAGTCAAGGCAAGAGAACTGCTTGAGCCCAGCCTCAAGGGTAGGGTGCACTATGCTATGATGACACCACTACACTCTACCCAGGCAACAGAGCAAGACTCTGTCTCAAAAAAAAAAAATCTAGTAAGATAAAAACCTTTCTTGATTATCAAGAACCACCTCATTTGGTTTTGTGTCTGGAGAAACTACTCCCAAAGCGTGTCTCCTTGGTTTAAGCAGAGGAAACTAAAGCACACTTTTCAGTATGTGAGTGTTCACTGGTCAGGGCAAACTGATCTCTTGGTGAATGGTAACCGTCTTAAAACGCCCAGAACTAAAACACAGAATCCTTTTCCTTTTTAGGAAAAGAAAAAGGACTCAAAGCTTTGGTCTCAGACCACCTCAGCACCACTATCACCTCTCTGGTCTGTCT